GCCCCTCAGGCCACCACAAGACACTTTCCTTGGTCTGCCTGCACTCCTGGCCTGCAAGGATCTGCTCTCAGGAGTCCCTGGGGAGGCTTTGTCAGTGCCTGCCCTCAGTGGGGCCCAGCAATGCTTCAAGGCACTGGCAGTTTGGCTTCTGACTTCTTGAGCAGCTTCTTCAATCTTCTCTCAGTAGTTAAGAACAATGGACTTGTCTCTAAACACACTGTGGGGCTCATTAAAATACAGAAAAACAAATTATTTTCCTTCCTTTAATTATCTTCACGTCTTCAAGACTTAACTAATTGGAGTTGTTTTGTAGTTTAGCTGAGGAGGAAAATTTTAAAGTGGACCTCCCAAAAAAATTTTTTTTCTATGACAGGGAATGATTTCTACAGAGCCTTGGAATGCAAGATTGTCAGGGTGCAAAGGATTTGGACACAAAATAAGGGGGCAACAGAGATTAGTAACATTTTATTGTTGAACAACTTAACAGTTATCAAGTGATTCAACAGCATTTTCTACAATTTACAGTTACTGAGTTACAGATTCCTAATAACAACACTCACACCACAGTCAATTCACACCCACACCCAGGCAGAGATGTGTGGACACATCAAGATCTGGGTGTGTAAAGGTCCCTCTCCAAAATTCTCCTGGTTGTCAGTGAAACACCCCCACACATCCCTTTGTGTTTCCCACCAGACAAGGGTCACCCCTGGAGGAGTGTTTGTTGAGGGGGATCAGAATTGTCCTGGGCATCAGGACACCCTTTGGAGTGTTGCAAACTGGAGGGTTCCCGAGCTCCAAGAGGCTGTGAGAGGTGTCCCACTGAGAGGGAGGTGCTGGGGAGCTCCCAGGGCCTCCCTCAGCACTGCTGGGTGTGGGCTCACAAGGGCACTTGCTTTAGTTATCTGCTGAATTTCCATCCTCCTGTCAGGAATGACTGGAGTTTCCCAAAGATATGGGAATTGTATCCAAACTATTCCATTTGGGCTGCGATTCAGGCAGGGAACATTCCAAGGTTTTCATGGGATGACTGATTATTCTGTATTCCCCAGCTGTTACACTCTGGATTGATCCCACCTGTATCATCCAGGAGCCCCTGGTCTGATCCAGGGACACTTCACCAGAGCCCTGATCCAGTTCAGTGTCACTTCATTGCTCAGCTGGTTTGGTCAAGACTTGTCAGGAGCTCCTGGGATCATACTTATAAGAAGGATGGGGACAGACTTACTTGTAATAAGCCAAGTGATAATGGTTAAAAACTTCAAATGAGCAGATTTGAACTACATATAAGAAAGAAATTTTTACAATGAGGGTGGTGAAACACTGGCACAGAAAGGTCATAGATGCCCCACCCTTGGAAACATTCAAAGTCAGGTTAGAAAGGGCTCTGAGAACCCTGACCCAGTTGCACATGTCCCTGTTCATTGCAGGGGGGTGACTAGATGACCTAAAAAGAGCCTTTCTGAATCAAACTATTTAGGATTCTATAGTTCTTCCTTATCCTACAAAGCCAAGGCTGCCAAGGATCACACAGGTTTCAGACCCAGCTGAGCATCCCCTTTGCTGGCCCATCTGGCAGCTCTGCTTAAAAGCAGAGCTGCAGAGAACCCCCAGACCTCAAGGAGCTTCTGTGCTGGGCTGAGCTGTGGCTGTCAGGGTTGGGGGGTTGCTTTTGGCTGCCAGGGGACCACCAAGGTTCTCTCTCACTCCTCCTCTTTCTCCACTCCACCTGGTGCCTGCAGGGTTGTTTCTCCCACATTTCCCTCACTCCTCTCTGGGTTCCAGCACCCTGGATTTTATCCTTTCTCCAAAAGCTTATCACAGAGGTGCCTCTGCAATTGCATTTTGACTCAGCTTTGGGCACTGGCTGGTCCATTTTGGAGCCACCTGAAACTGGCTCTCTCTGATCCAGAGTCAACTCTTGATCTTTTCTTCCCCAAGGCAAACCTGCAGCCCCCTCCCTGCTACCAAACCTGATACACAGGGTCAGGAAAGTGCCCATGAATACAGGAGGTCATTGAGCCCATTCTTTCTCAGGCTGCTGAAACAAGACTTTGTCCTCTTGCTCTCCCTGCCTGCAGGTTCTCTCTGTCAGAGCAGAGCTGTGCTGGCCCTCAGCCCTGCTTTGCTGCAGAGCCTGCTGGGCTGGGGGCAGATGGCAATGGCAGAGGGGCTGAGGTGCCCCAAGGAGAGCAAACCCTGCTGTGCCCAGGCCAGAGAGACACAGGGCTGGGCTGTGCAGCCTGGCAGGACAGGGCTTTGCTGCCTGAGGGGTCTCTGCCAGCGTGGAGGGCCTGGAGGCTTCAGGTGACTCCAATGTGCAGGAAGGACAAGGTGCTGATGGAAATGTCCTTGGCTTTGGACATCCTGTGATCCAGGAACTCTGTGAAAATCACTGCTCTGTTCCTTGGCTGCAGCCTCAAAGGGATGACTGAGGGTTATCAAGCATTGGAACAGAATGTCCAGGGAAGTGGTTGAGTCACCACAGAATCACAGAATTGCTAAGGGTGGAAAAAACCTCTGATATCATTGAGTGCAACCATTAACCCAGCACTGGCATCTTCACCACTGAACCGTGTCCCCAAGTGCCACAGCTCAATGTTTTCTGAACACTTCCAGGGATGGTGACTGTAAGACCCCAGGTTTGAGCTATGAGCTCATCAAAGGGCTTTTACTTTAAAAAAAAACAGGTAAAGCACCAAAAATACCGACCCTCCAGATATTTTAAAAGGAGAAAGGAGAAGATGCTACACATATTTTCTTAGGGGGTCAAATATCACACTTTTACTGGCAAACTTTAGAAAATAAGAGTGCTTGACAAAAGTTGAAAGGGCAACATTCCAGCAGAACAGAGCATTCCCCAAAGCACTGACTGAGCACAAGCCAACCCATGCAAGTCAACTGGATGGTTTATTGACAATGTGTCCTGAGGGGTGGCACCTCCGATGCCATAGAAACCCCTCCCCCTGCATTAGGAACATTTGGAATTCCTGAGGTGTTCAAGCGGAGCAGGGAAATGAACCCCAGCTTTCCCAAAGCCCAGAGCCAAAGAGAACAAAGCAAGGAGGCTGCAGCTGCAGAGCAAAGGTCTCCCCAGTGCCCGTGTCCCTGTGGCTGCTGATGGAACAGCGTGGAATCAAGAGGCCACTGTGACACTGGGGGTCTTGTGGAACCAAAGGAATCCTGGGACACAGTGGAAACTCATGGAATCATCAGGGCCATTGTGACACTCCAGGACCTCATGGAATAAAGAGTCCATTGTGACACTGCAGGGCCTCATAGAACCAAACATTCTGGAACCTCATGCAGTCAAGGGTCCATTTCTGGCAGGATGCTCTGCTCTGATAATACCCCAAAAATGGTCAGAGAATACAAACAATGCAAGCTCTCAGTGCTGAGTTACTGCTGGTGTCAAGGTGCTGGTTTTAATGCTGAATTCTGTTAAACCCAAAATGCTTCATGAAACTTCCAAAACACTGCCTTCTTTCTAAAGCAGAATTGGACAGATAAACTGCTCCCTGGCCTGGAACAATGTCTGGCAGTCATT